ATAGGAAACCATTAGAACTCAAAGAAGGAGATCATGTGTTCTTGAAAGTCACTCCTAAACTAGGATTGGGAGTATTATTCAAGACAAAGAAGTTGAGCCCATGAGATGTTGGATCCTTTCAAATAATAATTCAAGTAGGTAATTAATCTTTATCGGAACAAAATGAGATGACTTAGTCAATCTATCCACAACAACCCAGGTCGAATCATTTCCTTTCGTGGTCCTTGGAAAACCCACTAAAAATTTATAGAGATATCATCCCACTTCCACTCAAGAATACTCAAAGGTTGCATCAATCCAGACAACTTCAGATGCTTAATCTTCAATTTTTAACCAGTCAAACAAGAATACATAATCTAGATAATATCCTTATTCATACCTGGCCATCAAAACATTTTCCTGAGATCTTGATACATCTTAGTGGCTCTTGGATGAATGCACAAACTACTCTTGTGACCTTCTTCTAAAATTCTCTTCTTAAGCTCTAGCAAATCCGGCACACAAACCCTGTTCCAAATATTCATAAACCCATTCTCATCTACCTTGAAGTCCACTTCTTTACCTTGATTGATTAGTAATATGTAACACTCTAAACCTCAATACATATAATTTATGAAACATGCAGAATAAAATACTCAAAAGGGTGCAACATTTCTTAGCATAACATTCTTAATTCATGATAACATCGAAAAATAAACTCCAACACATCTTCAATTATCTCATAAATACAAATAAACTTCATTTATAAAAAAGTTCAGTTAAATAACTCATAGAAAAGAAAAACTGAAAAATGGTATCCCCAACCCAGTGTCAGACTATCAGAGCGACACAAGAAAAACTAAGCATAACAAAAAGATAAACAATGAAGAAGGCCCATTATTCTCATTTTATCTATTCTTTTAAATAAATAAAATTTATAATAATTTCTACTAGAAAACCAATCATCCTCAATAATACTAAAAAAATAATTTAAGGCATTCTAAACTCAATTAAAAATAAAATAATCAGAATCAGGGTGATACACGAGACCTCGGTCTAAACCCCCAGGCAAGACTTTTAGGTTAAGTCTCTTGGGTCAGACTTTGACCGATCCCCTCTGGCCCTAGAGACTCAACTTTGCTATAATATGCTCTAATTTCTCTTAATTGGAAAGTTAATTGGCCAATTTGGGATAGATATCATGTACCCCATGTCCTACTTTGTTTTATTATTATTATCAATTATATTTAATTAGCCCTGAAAACCTTGAACGTCTGATCACTTTAGCTACACATAGTTGGGATAAAATTCAGTACCCATACACATCTCCCAGTGGGTTCAATATTATTATATTACTTCGCATTGTCATGTACTTGCGGCCCTGCATAACCGCCGTGCATAATCACTTGTCTTGGTACCAAGTCGTCCTCCAACATTTCTCTTGGAATTACCTTAGAGTTGTATATTCTAGCGACTCTTTTCTTGACAATGAACTCCCAGATGTGGGCGACGTCTCTTACTTCATCAATCAAATCAGCAGTGCATTCTAGCCTGACATCGTTCATTTCCTTTCTAAATTGAGAATGTTGTCGTGAAGGCGTGTTCATCTCGATAGGAAGCATAGCATCCGCCCCATATACCAGAGTTAGGGGGTCCTCCTTGATAGTTGAGTGGGGAAGTGGTATGGTATGACCATGATATTTCATGGAGAAACTCAACCCATAACTCTTTAGCGTCATCTAACTTCATTTTTATCCATTTTAGGATCACATTATTATCCAACTCTGCTTGTCCATTGGGTTAGGGATGGAAGAAAACAAACGAACTTCATCTGTACCCCCATTTTACGACAAAAGTCAGATAGTGGTGCCAGCGAATTGTGTTCCATTGTTGGAGACGATGACGCCTGGCAGCCCAAACCACCACATGATTTTTTTTCCAATAGAAATGACGATCTCTTTCTAGTGTAATCTTGGCGAAGTCATCTGCCTCTATCCACTCCGTGAAGTAGTCTCCCCACAATCAGAAATTTAGTTGCCCATGTGCTAGAGGGAATGAGCCTAAAATATCCCCTACCAACTATTAGAAATTCCAAAGAAATGTCATGAAATATACTAGCTTAGTCGGGCATGATGCATGTTGGTGTGTCTATGACATTACTCACATTTATTGATGAACGTCACACTGACTTTTAATAGTGTGGGCCAATAATAACATGCTCTAAGTAGTTTACAGGCGAGAGCCTTGCAGGAGATGTGGCAACAAAATGCTCATTAATGGACTTCAACAAGTATTTAGGCGATTTCATTCTCCCTCAGACACAGTAGAATTGGGGAGGCTCTTCCCATCTTATAGAGTTTTCCTGCCAGTAGAGTATACTTAGTGGCCTGTTTCTGGATCTTCTTCGCCTCCTTTTCATCTAGTGGGATTTCGTCCTCCCGCAGATAATGCAGTATGGGAGACATCCATCTTAAGTTGGGGATGACTTCCAGGTTATAACTTTCATTCGCCTGAATGCTAGCGGAAATGATAGTCTCTTATATTATTGTCCAATTGTATCCTGCCATCTTTGTGTTGGTAAGTTTAGATAGAAGGTGTGCTCTAAAGTTGGAACTTCCTTCGTCGGTGAAACCTCTGGCTATGGTGTTAACCACGAAGGCTAGATATTTTTTGGCCATTTTTTGGGGGAAGGTAGTGAAAATGGAAATGATGATGAAATGTGTGGCCTACATTAGTTTTATCGTGGCCTCGTAGTGGACGCAATTGTACTTGTCCAAAAGTGCATAATGTGTGGCACCCTTATGCTAGCAGGGGATTCTAGAGGCCTTGGTGATTTTATGTGGTTTAAGGCTTGCTCATGATGTTGATAAATCTTGTTCGGTGGTGTTTTTAGCTACGGAGAGAGCAAGCTCACATGAGGTACGTTGAGTTGTTTGTCCTCACTCGTGTAATGAAGTATTTATAGAGGCCAATAGGCTTGCAGTTGGGATCCTCGAAAATGATAATCGTCTACCTAATAATAGTAATGGACCGTTGAATTCCTACTTTCTAGAAAGACGTGGTCTAGTCCATTGACTCGGGGTTCTCTCTGACCAATACGTGTTTTTTCCACGTTCCCTAAATGGGAAGAGTGGGAAGAGCTTAAGGCGGGGTTGCCTCATTTTGAGCGGTAAAATGGTGTCGCCCTTTACTGGTGGTCACAATCTCGTCGCCTTCTGTGAGTCTTTACAAATATATCATTACAAAGAGAAAAAGAAATATGCATTGAAAATGTAAAATATTTTTAAATTATCAACTAATGAGGGACGCTTATCACGTCAAATTACACTTTCATTTTTTATTTAATACCTTTTTTAGTCTTATATATTTACTTCGGAGTTCATTTTGGTCCCTTAATTTAAAAAATGTCCATATGGTCTCTTAACTCCTCATAACGTACTATCTTAATCATTTTTGTGCAATTAGCGACAAATTTAACGATCAATTTTTAAGTTTTTATATCACTACTTAGACATAAATGACTAATACGACACATTTTGAAAAATTAAAGATCAATATGGACCTTTTTTTTAATTAAAAGATCAAAATAAACCTCAAAGATAACATATAAGACTAAAAAATATATTAAATCTTTATTTTTAAAATACTAACATGATATAATTGAATGTTAAAATTCTATTGAAGTATGATGTAAATCTATTTTACACGCACATTACATTATTTTTAATCTCCATTACAAAACTTGAATTATGGATTTAAACAAATTACCCAATAATTTATATCTTTCAAATATTTGACACAAGTACCTCCACTAATTATAAATTACAAAATAAAAATGTACCAACATTACCTCCACTAATTATAAATTACAAAATAAAAATGTACCAACATTTTTACCATGACATCAGATATTTTCCAAAAAAAAAACACAAAATACACCTTTAAATTGAAACGTTTAATTTTTTATAAGCAGTTAACACATTTAATACATAATAAATCTATTCTTATTAATTATCGGGTGCGTTTGATTTACAGAATGATATGTATTAGACAGAACAGTATATAATATTACAGAATAATTTTTTGCATGTATTTGATAATTGAGACACTCATCAACTTTTTTAATCTATTTTGTTAGATTAATTTATGAAAAAAAGGATGGTACACTGACAGTGAAAATTTTTTTTACACTATCAACTGACAATCATATAAAATATCAAGTCACACTGTAAATTTTAAAATACTTCTATGATTTGATACTTTAAAATATTTTAATTGGATGTCTCTGTGTAATATTTTTTTCCACTGCCAGTTTATTACCATTAAACTCTTAGTTTATATATTGAACACAATTATAAATTTTTTTTATATGATATTCTTTATTGATATATAAAAAATGATATTTTGATAATTTTTAATAATTTGTTTATGAAATAAAAAATTTTGTTTCATGATTTAGTAAGGGACAAAAATTCATGTTTTATTTCCGTCCCCTGACACATGTTTTGTTCAATCCTCTTATTAATTTCAACATTAAACAAGCTAAAAGAAAAGTTAAGTTGTCCAGTCCCTTTATTTTTTAACAAATCAAACATACCTAGAGTAAAATAAACCATGAAAAAATATAGATAGTATTTTAAAAAAAAGAAGAATAACATAGGTGGTATTATAAACATAAAACTGCACTTATTCTAAGATATTTTTATTTGCATGTATTATTTGAAATAGACGAGAGTAGTCCTGAAGAAAGGTGTTTAGTTAGAGCTGATAGGAAACTATGAGAAGCATAACAATAACAATAGTAGTCACCCGGTCTTTACAACATTGCAACTATTTACAATGAAGGAAAACTCAGACAAATAAATATAAATGCCAAAATGTTAACCAACACGTGTCTAGAAATTCACAATATTAGTTTACCAAGATCAAGATATTCACACGAAATATATGAACAAAGTACACAGTATAAATATGCTAAAATAAATTCCTATTTTTCAAAATTACTATCAGAAACCAGTGAATCAAGCTGTAGGATTTGGAAAGGCTTTGGGTTTTGGCTTGACCTCAATCTCATTCACGCTGCGAACATAGATAGCATCCTGTTCTTGGCTGCAAAAGAAATGGACAACAGGTTATAACTAGAGAGAGTGTGTGTGTTAGAGAAAAATGGGAGGAATACTTACGGTTTGGGTCCCTCTTCGAATGTGTAACTTGATGCAACAGCCAGGAGGCGGCCATCTCTGCTAAATGAGAGTGCAGCAATGCTAGTTGGATATTTTGAATACTGCAAGAAGAAATGGTAATTTAATAGTTGTTGCAGTTGTAGCATAAGAAGAATTTGACCTCTTAAATCACTAAAGGCAAATGAGGAAAACCTGGTACAGCCTCTTTTTGTTGTTTCCGTCCCATACATTAACAAAACCGTCACAACCTCCTGTGGCAAATGTACCATATCTGCAAGAAGATTTCTCATGAGTGATTTGACACAATATTAACAAAACTGTATGGGGCCATTAGTCTGTTGTTACTGTTAGTAAAAAATCAGTTAGAGACAGCTGGGTTGACGGCTGTCAATTAGTTGCGATTGTCAGTTAGCTGAGTTTTTATCACATTGCCATTGTTGTAATTTCCACTGAATGGTACAACCGTACAAGTCATACAATGGTACTGAAGAGAGAAACAAGTCAAACAACTAAGCAATCATTTTCAAGATGCATCTCATTTCAAACACATCACTTGCATATGATATTCAAAATATCCCATAGTCATTTTCTAGCATTGATTTTTACAGTACTGAGTTACACAATTATTTATGATACTATCAGCATTTAGTTCTTATATGCAACTAACATTTCACAGCAATATACTTGCAAGAACTTAATTACCAAATCACATAGTTATTATCATCAATAACATGTATGAAAGGAATCGTCATCAATAATAAGAGATTTTTGTTTCCTGACTCAAGCCCTTGTTGTAATTATCAAGAGATTAGTTTATTTATTTAACCTACTAAAGCCACCATTTACTTTAAATTTTAACCATCTTTAGCATGCTTGTTAATTAAGAAACAAGAAAATTTGCTATACAAACAACATCAAAATTCTTACATGGGGTGGAATGCCATGGCATTTACAGGGTAGACGATATCCCTTCCAGCTTCAGATTTTCTGTGACACTTAAAAGCATATCTGTATATAATTTAGAAGCAAATGAGATAGTATAAAGACAATATAAATGAAGTGGAAAATAAGAGTTTTGAAGTGGTAGAAATGATAAGCATAAAGCTAAAAATCAATACTTCTTTGCCTGGCTAGCTTCAGAGAGGTCAAAGAATTCCATTGCAACTCGCCCTTCAACAGAACTAAGTGCATATCCTGCAAAAAAGCCAAAAGTACATGGAATATGAACATCAAGGCTAAGAAAGGCATCACAAAAATCAGTGCCATCACTAGAATCTATTACGCAACACGAAAAAGATATGAATTAATAATATCCATGAATGTACACATTAGTATCATCTTCCAATCAATACCAGAGCTCATAAACAACAGGGTATAAACAAACGCCAACCCACATTTGATAAAGATTGTTAATGAGATTTATGAAACAAAACAAAGTTCAAACCTAAACTTTTGCAAACTCTTCCACAGTTGAAAATACACTAAAGTTTACCTGTTCCATTTGGGTAACTGCGTACACATCTGGTTTGATATTTCAATGATGATTCCCTTCGTTGTTCAGGCAGAGACATGTTCCTCAAGTCATAAACATTAACATGTCTTCCAGCTGTTGCTACAACAAGCCGATGTCCAACAAGAGATAGAGAGTAAACACGCTCAGGCTGTGGATATGTCCCAACAAGAGTGCGCTCCTGTCCGCTTGCACCTCTAGGATCCCAACATTTTAGGGTTTTGTCCCAACTACCAGTGATCAATTGCCCTATAATGATGGATAAGTTAAAAGGCAGCAGATTGTAAATACCCAAACTTCGACCAAATAAGGGGGAAGTCTTGTCCTTGGCATTGATAAGTTAAGAATGATGACTCCTTTGAACGGAAATAATATCATTAAACAGAAATTTATGTTAATATAGAATGATAATCAACATATACAACCAGATATGTTACTATTTTTAGTTTAAAATTTTATTCTCAAGGCACATTTTAAGAAAAGACATCACAAACTGCATCTAGGACACTACATTTACAATCTTTACTTACCATTCATTCCAAATAGTATTACAAGGCGATGAATAACTGAGATATATATTTTTGTAATTGCAATGTTTCCGTCATTAAGTGATACACAAACATGTTTACAAAAGGCATAATGCAGAAAGACAAGGGTAGCCCAGAAAGGCAAAATGTTTCCCCTGAGGGAATATGTATAGTGCATAGGAAAAAGTGGAGATTAAAGAGGATTGAGTGATGAGAGTAACAAGTAAGTAACCTGCAGCATAGGAGTACTCAACACAACGAACAGGAGCATCATGCTTTCCGAGAATATCCTCTTTCCCGGTGGCGAAAACAAGGCTGCAAAGAGATCCAAAAGAGGAAATGAGTAAAAAATACGACACAAATGGATCTGAGGAGTAAAATGGTGAAACCGACCGTCTGACAGTGTTATCGGAGGAGGCACTGAATCCGGAAGAGTCATCGTGGAAGCAACAGTCAAGAACGGGTCCACCGTGGAGAAACTCTCCTCTAAGCACATTTGCGCTTGCATCATACAAACGAACAGTCTAAAACCAAATTCAAATTCAAATTCAAATTCAAATTCAAATGATTCGAAAGGGAAGATTGAGATGAAGATGATTGATTACCTTGTCCCATGAGGAAACGAGAAGGTGATCACTGTGATTAGAGAAACGAATGTTGGAGATTCCGTCTGACGGAGGATTTGTCAACTCTCGACCAGACACTACTGGTGTTGTTGTAGCCATGCTTCTGCTAGCTAGGGTTTCCAAACGGAACTTTCTTTCAATATATTTTTATTTTTATTTTATTTTCAATAAACAGACGTTCCTTTCTTTTTGTTTGCTTATTCAGTTTGGATTCGATTAATAAAATTCAAATTTTCAAAATTCATGCGAGGGACGCTACAACTCAACTTCTTCATCATTTCATTCATTTTTTTCTTGCTTTGCTAATTAATATCATTTCAAATTCAAAATCAATACAATTCTCATGCCCCAACCCGGCCCGTTTTATAATCGCCTTATTTATTTATTTTGGCTGATCTACTATACTCACACTCCTTTTCTTATTCATATCCACTTTTTAAATAGGAGTTGCTCTTTCCACCCTAATGTCTTATTCCACACCATTGTAAAAAGTCTAAATTGTTCTTCGAGATCAGAGATTCATCTCATGATGCATCTATTTTAATTATTTTTCAGACCAAATTGAAAAGGCAATCTCATTATGATCAAATTTTATCTGAAGATGCATCTTTGTATGTGCAAAAGTGCATTCGAAAATGTATCTCTATAAATATCATTTATTCAAATAGTTGTTGATGGTTCAAAAATGCATCTTTGAACGCTTTATTTTCATATATCACGCCATACTGTCTTTTCCACTTCTTTCTTGTTCATTTTTTGGAGAAAAAAAGTTTTCTTCCTCCTCTCAAGCTTTTGAGCTCTTTGTCACATTCAAGTTTCTCTTCGTATAAAACTTTTATCGTTGGAGCTCTATCTCCTCCTTTCTAGTATCTCATAACTCATACATTCAAATAGACTTATAAGTTTTAATTATTTTCATGTTTTGATTTGTAGTTAGTTGTTTAAGCTACATTACTTGTGTTTAGGTACATTATATAGTTGTGTAAACGAAATTGGTAGGCTAGAAGAACATGCATTGAGGTATTTTTGGACTATTAGGGCATAAATGGTGTTTCTTTCATGGGAGACAATCGCTGATTTTTCCTGAGATGCATCTCTGGATTTTCTCTGCATTATTTTCAGAGATATATCTCCAGATTGGACTCGAGCAAAAATTTGGTTGATTTTGTGGAATTTGTGAATTTGTAGCTTGTGTCTCAAATCGCATCGGTAAGACATGAGAGGGAAACAACGAGGACAGAGAGGCCACGAGTTGCTAGTAACTCGTTTGATGATGTATCTACTTCGCAGACTTGGTGTTCTCACCCGTTTGGTTCTCGTAGTCGACTCACCCAGTCATATGATGTAGAAAAACCTAAAGTTTCTGAAGCGCCTAAAGCCCAGGAGGAAGGCGTTGTCGATTCCCCTTTAGAGAGTTACCCAGGAGATCCATTTGACAATTCTTTAGCTATCTCTATACAGATCATGATGATAGGCATGTCTAACAATGAGGGGTATATTTTTTTATTTTGCAATACATGTGTTTTCAACTAATTAAATCGATGTTGATGGTGATATTTTATTTTTACATGAGTGTACGTGTTTGAAATTAGTAAACCATGACATGCAGATATTGGAGCTAGAACAACCCACTCTTGTCTTTCCAGTTTATGTTCTTCTGCTTACATGACCATAAACCAAAACCTGTAGGCAACTTTTATTGAGAGGTGGCATTCAAAGACGTCATCTTTCCACCTTCTTATAAGCGACATGACCATCACCTTGGATGGCGTCTCATGCCTTTTGCATCTTCCCATTGGGGGGAGATTACTAGACCACGGGAGGATCGGGCGAGAGGAAACCATCGATATAATGGTCACCCATTTGGGGGTTGACCTTACTAAGGTCGCACAAGAGGCCTCTGACATAAGAAGTGCTCATGCAAAATGAGAAAATTATTAAACATCACTCTTCAGTCCCTTTCTCGACAACAAGCGATAGTTGTGAGGGTCCCCTTATAGGCTGGGCAGCGAGCTCTTCGAGGTAGTCAGAGACCAGGATCTTTCTGGCAGCCACATAATAATTAACTCTCATCCCTAAGGTATTAAGCTCGACCCCAAGATTCAACACACAGAGCTACTTCAGTGTGTTCTTGAAGCTCCCCTCGGAGGCAGCTTGGGCGCCATCCATCGCCAGTTGGAAACGAGCGACCAACTCGGCCCGGGTCTTCAAATCCTTTTGTGTCCTCCGGCTCGTCTTCAGCAGGCGCAGCCTCGGCAGTCAAGATCACTACCCTCTCCTTCAGAGCCTTCTTTTCGAGCAACCAGACTCTGTGCTTCTCGGATAGCTTCCCCAAGTCCTCCTCGGATAGCTTCTGAGCCTTCTCCTTATCACTCTGCCCTTCTCAGTCGCAGCCAACTTAGCCCATAGCTTCTTCAGCTTAGCCTCTTGAGAAGAGCTCCCCTCGGTGTAAGTGAACTCCATCTCCAGTATCCTCATCAGGCCGCTTGCATCCTGCGCCAACACTGCCCTTTTCTCTAGGCGATCTAACCCCTCGAGGTGAAGAGACTCGGCCCGGGGGAGTTGAAGAGCGGCACCCTCAAAGAAAGCCATTTTCAGCCAGCATGGGGACATGTCATACTTCCCTTTCCCCTTTTCCCCTGTCAGATCAACATTCACCTCGACATGTGGCCTCTTTGCCTTCAAGGACACATGAGCAGGAGAGAGTGCGACAACAGCTTGAACCGAGGACGAGTTGCCTGACCCTGATGTAGGAGCAGTCCCCGAACTAGTTTAAGCATCCTTCAAAATTTTCTTCGCTTTCGCGAAAAAATTCCTGGCTATGTGTTCCTGAGCAGGATTCATGCTATCTGGAGAACAAACAGAAAATCAGAGTTAGCAAACAAGGACTTAAAGATGTCAACCATATACAATTATTCAAAACATAAAACTAAATACTCGGGTATTTAACAGGATCCTCGCTCTCAAGAAGCTCCTTAACGACTATCAGGTCGGGCTCATACACGATCTTCCCATTCTTATCAATCACCGGCTTGCCTCCCTGGCCCGGGCTCTGCACGCGAGGAATCTGCGTGACGAAAACTGTCAAGACGGCGAAGCTCATCTGGTCTTCATCACCAAGCTTCCCTTCCTTCCAGATGTAGGAACCCAACTTATTGTCGAAATGCTTCCTCGTCCACTGAAAAGGAACTTGTGGACCAAATTATTCACATGATCTCCCAACTCGTTCAAGATGGGCCCCCCATTCTCATCATATTCTAGAGTAGCCCGAAAAATGTTCAGTATCGCCCTGCTCGTAAGAGGTTGCATAAGAATATACTTGTCCTTGAAGTGTAGAACAGACTCCAAGTAAGCTTTAAACAACTTCTCGTTGCCCGGCTTCAAGGCGACCCATCCCCACTTGCCATAAACCTTGCTCCTATCTTCAAATAATCACAGACAATCTCAAACGCTCGCATGAAAGCAATCTCATTCAGATGTAGCTGAGAAGGAGCCAGTCGAAGAAATCGGAAAACGGCCACATGGAAATCGGAGAAGGGGGGTCGAAGGCCTATCTCCCGAAACATAACGTCGTACATAATGATCCACCGTTTATCATACTTAGATAAGATCTGACTATCTTTTTCGGGGATCTAAAATGACCACTCCCCCCGACCTCCATCGTCATACGCGTACACTTCAATGAAGACCTCATCGTGGTGCTCGAAGAATTAGGAAACCCAATCTCAAGGGTCCCCCGCAACCCAGGTTTGCGGGTCCTCGTCATCCTCGAGCGGAAATAGACCACCCTGGTCGGCGGGCGCCATCTCCATGTCCTCTCCCTCTACATGCTGATCAGATCGATTCGACTCATCCGCGAATACCTTCAGGATGCTCGACATACTGCAAGTATCATCTGTGGAGCTCTGGGAAGATCCAGTTCGCCCATCTAAAAGATCATCTCCAACATTATCGGCCATACTACCTGAAAAGCAGAGGATAGAGGTGAGTTCGACACAATGTCAAAACCACCCTTCCACCACTAATCAAGTGAGAGGGTGCTGATAAACGAGGACCACGTCCCCGACCAGAACCCTCACTAAGGCATCCAAACGAACAAATGCTTTTCTCAACAAAACAAACTTCAGTCAACGAAAACAACCTAAATCCTCAAGGATTATCTACGGTACATCGCGAAAATCCGGGGAGAATCTATGGAGGCTATGGCGTTTCTAAGCTATAGAACCACCATCTGCTACCAACACTCCCCTAAAAACGCCCTAACAGACAGGATCCTAAGCCTAACCTCATGCATTTCTAAGACGAAAATCGTGAAAATCTAAGCTACGACAGCCAAATAACCACGAAATCTTACCAATTAAAGAAGAAAGAAGGTTGAAAGGAGCGTCAGCGGGCATTTAATCTTCAAGAAACAATAGCGGTCGACAAACAATAAGTAACGAGCAATGCGAGAGAAGAACGAAAAGTACATAATACCCTACTCCTCTCGTATTTATAACTGAAATCGCCTGCATGTGAGAGACACACGCCTAGGGAACCGTAGGATCGTCATCATTGTACCCTAGCCCCTAGGCCATCATTGCACTATTGCGTCAATGCACCACCCGAAACATGTTGCCTCTTTAATTTTGGAAGCTCGAACGACCATCTATTCATCTCCCTGCGAGAAAGGCGCAATGGGTTGCACCCACGTTCTCCGTAAGGAGCACCCCATTCTATGAGCAGGCGTTAAATTCATCACTATTGTGCCCAAAAGTAACGACTTGGGGGCTACTGTTTTGGACTGGCTCGACAGTTAGAGCAGGCTCAGCCTGACCTCCTCCTTCGTCACAGCCTATACGACCGTGGCCCGAGCTTCCTCGCCCTCCGTCGGGCACCATCGATCATTTTCCCTCTTGGACCAGCACTAACCTACAACATCCGACGAGTGCCTCTCAGTCTTCCCGACCTCAAATCGTCCAGACAACCAGGAACCGACCAGAACGTTTCCCGTAACCTACCTCTTCCTCAGAACCAACGGCTAGTTACGGGCACACTTGCCCCGTTTGACCAAGTACTGACAGGTGCCTATTTTTGCGGATCCTCATATCTAGGCCCAAAAATAGGAACCAATGGTCAAGCGCTAGGGGAACTATATAAACCCTCACACATATGAGGGCCAGGTATAGAATATTCACTATTCATCACTAAAATCCTAATACTTTGCTTGTATCTCTTTTGTTATCACACTTACTTGATCATTAGAGTGCCTTGCCGGTACAACCCCCTTTTTTCCTCCTTGACTTTCCAGACCGTCCGAAGATCATCATCCGGCTACCTTACAGGTTCTGATCAACCGGTAAGATCAGTGGCGCCGTCTGTGGGAATCTATCTTCCCTGTTTTTTATTCCCAGGA